ATTGCTGGTAGGCAATGATGGCACAAATAAATATTGCCTTTTATTTCCTGCTTGTCCTGGGTTCAGCCCTAACAGTTGTTTTCCTCCTTCTTAGTAATGTTACAGCTGAACCTAGGGCACTGCCGTGGGACACCAAAAGAGATCAGAAATGCATGAGCTGCTTAGGGCTGGATCTCCAGCTGCTGAAGTTCACTGCAGCTCCATACACTTGAAAGGACTAAATCTACAGCAGCCAGGAATCATGTGTTTGAATCTAAGATGCAGCCCCTGCATAAACGATGGACGTTTTCATATGTGTCCTTATGTATAGAAGTGAAAATCCAGGAGCTGTGTTTTCATTTGGTTGTTTTGTTGGTTTTGGTGTTATTTTTTTTCACAAATGCATGTAAGAACTCATGAAATACACAGGAATCCTGGTCTGGATTGGATGGATGGATGGATGGATGGATGGATGGATGGATGGATGGATGGAAGCCAGACCCTGCAGATAGACCCATGTGTTGGGGGCAGTGAAGCCCTAATATCACCTGTCTTACAGATACAGGTTTTCAACATGAGCAACACAAAGCAATTAAATGCTCCAAGAGAACACATCGATTTAAATAATTTGCTTTAGTATTATTTTACATCTGCAATTAACTTTTTTTTTAGGAGGCACAACTTTCACATTTCTTCCTTTTGCAGAGAATTGTGAAGAACGCACTTCTGTGCTTAATGGTGGAATTTTTCCAGAGGGGTGAAAGTCCTTTTAGGTAGAATGTGGGTTTCAGCTAAAATACCCAAACCCAGCATTTTAAAATGAGCTTTGTTCCATAAAAACTGTCAAAGATGCTGCATACAGAAGTAAGGGAAACATTAGAAAAACACATTTTGCAATTCAGATTGCTAAGATGAAAGTGTTATCTGCAGCTATGACTGGCAGTCACCCCAACAGTCCTTACATTAGACCTAGCAGAGATAATCCTTTCAAACCTCTTTAATCTGGAAGAGGAAAGACACACCACTGGCAGGGTGGGTGCTCCAGTGGGGTCCCTTCTGCAGGCACCAGTGGCCTTTTGGGTGGGTGGTGTCTTTCCAGCACCAAGTCCCTGCTGGTGAACAAACACGTCAAGCATTGCTTTGCTGTTGTCCCAGAGGGCAAATTCTGATCTGGAGAGGTATGTCATCTCTGAGATCTAACTCATCCGTGTGACATTCTCTCTCGCTGTTTGCCATTTTAATGAAGACACGAGGCTGAGGTGCCGATGCGTCAAGGCTCAGTGCCGTGACAGCTCCGTGTGATGTGACTGGTGAGATGGCAGCTGGGTGGGAAGCGCAAGTACTCCGACTCCTACGGTGCTTCTGAGCATCCCCACCGGGGAGGAGGAGAGATACATCCCCAGCTCCTGCCAGCAGCCTCAGCCGCTCGCTCTCTGCCTGCCAAGAGCTCCCCAGACTGCCGCTGCACAAAGGCGTCGGGCGCTGTCGGTGCAGCGCGGGCGGACGCTGCGCGGCGCTTCCTCGCAGCCCAGACAGCCCGCAACCGGATTTGCATTTGCTTTGCTCGCTGGAGCAAGGCAGGGAAGGCCAAAGCGCTGCGAGCCTCTCATCCCAAACCTCCCTCAAGTTCGTAAAGCAGCTGCGAGCCTCCGGGCACGATGCAGCGGGCTGGGGACCGGCTGGCTCGCCAACGCGGGGCCCGGCAGGCGTGCGCAACAGGCACAACAGGAATGCACACCTGTACCCTGCTCATTAACGCGATGAGTAAGCGGCTCACAACCGCACCGCCAGCATAAACAGAGGCTGGTGGGGGATGCTTGGCCCCTAATGACAGGCCTTGGCGCCTGCTCTGCCGGGTCCGGCGTCGCTGCGGGGTGGCGGAGGCGACCGCTGCCGGAGCGGTCCCTCCGGGATGGCTGCGGGGAGCGGGGGTGACGCTGAGCATCAGCCTCCACCCCGGCACGGCAGCGCTTTTGGCCGTAGCGCGGCGGGGCTGCACGCCCGGCACTGGCCCCACAGAGGCCTGACTCGATGGTTGACACCGCGTTTCTGCCTACCATGGTGTTTCTTCCCCTGCACCACCCCTGGTTTCCCTTCCCCGGTGCTTAGAGCTGGCTTTACATCCTGAAACCAGCGGGTTGCTGGTCCAATGCCAGGAGGGACAGAGGGCTTTCTTTACACAATGTTTTCTTATGCTGTTTGTCTCAAGAGCAGCAGGGTTAACAGTCTGAGTTTTGCCCAGCTGCTGCTGGAAGCATTTAGCAGCATTGCCCTACACAGCCCAGGAGGGTAAAGCCACGCACGGGCTGCAGTACTGCCCGGAGTCCTGCAAAGGTTCCCAGAGGCGTCTTGGCTCAGGTGAAAACCAGCCGAATTAAGCAGACAAGGCTTTGAGCTTTGCTGTGCCTTTGTTCTGAGGGTGCAGCGTCCAGTTTAGAATAGTTAGTGGAAACACTTCCACTCCTAGGCTGCTTTTGAAGTTGTGTCATTAATTTTTGTTAATGAAACATGCAAATCTAGTAGATGCTGTGATTGCCTCTCAAGGAATTCAGTCCTGACAGAGCTCCAGTTGTACGCATCTAACTGGCATGTAATTTAGGGCAGATCCATCCTCATTACCTTTTTCCTCCTAGTCTCTTATGGCTTAGAATATATTTACCCTGTGCTGGACTGCTGGGAAACCCACTCAGTTGCCATCCTTTTTAGCATACCACGTCAAGAGGGGGAAAGAAAAGGCTGGGCTTTATTAAACAGTGAAGCTGAAGATGATTACAGAGATATGACATGACCTGCTGCTGGCAAATTACCGTGGGAGGGCTTTGACAAGCCAAAAAGCCTCCTGCCCTGGCACTGATAGCTCACAATAGTCCCATTCAATGATTCTGAATTGCAGATGATGAGATCACTTCTAACTGCACTTCTGAAGGCTTTGCTTGCATGGGATTTATACCTTCTGCCTCCAAAATAGTAGAAAACTATTTAGTATCAACATTATACTCTAGTAGTTCATGGTTTTATTTTTAATGGCGATGATCTGCCTGCTTCAGGTTTACATCCTGACAACAAATTTCTGTTCCCTTTTTAACCTTCTCAATGTGCCCAAATGTCCCAAACCCCTCTGGTGAGGGGCACTGCACTCACGTGTCAGCCCTTCCACACCCCCTGTGTGCTGCTGCCACCCAATTTGCAGTGATTTGACAGGCAACATGTGAGTGAAGAGCCTGTGCAAATGGCTGGTGTAGCGAGATGGCTGAAGATGCATGTTGTAACCACAGTCTGTGCAGAAAGTGAAATCACTGAATCATCACAGAATCACAGAATAGTTTGGGCTGAAAGGGACCTTAAAGATCACCTAGTTCCAATCCCCTGCCACAGGCAGGGACACCTTCCATTAGACCATGTTGCTCAATGACCCGTCCAACCTGGTCTTGAACACTGCCAGGGATGGGGCAGCCACAGCTTCTCCGGGCAGCTTGTGCCAGCACTTCACCACCCTCATAGTGGAGAATTTCTTCCTAATACTTAGTCCAAATCTATCCTCTTGCAGTTTAGAGGCTTGTCCTTGTCCTACCCCTACAGGCCCTTGTAAAAAAGGTATTAAAAAAAAAAAAAAAAGAAGAGCTGAAGGGTTGTTTTTTTTTTTGTCCTGTGTGGAGATGGGGTAAGCATGGCCTGGCCATCAGTGTCACTTCCTGGGCAGCCAGCAGGCAAGTGCCAGCATCCCTTTGACACCCAAAAGTTCAAGGTGGAAGAGGTAAAATCTGAACATTTGCAGGTGAATGTTGAGGAGATGGGTTATCTTCTAAGGATGACTTGTGTAAATAACAGGCACCAAAGTCTCGCTCCTCTGGCACTGATAATGCAGGAGTTCAGCCTAGCGCCTTCATTGCACAAGTGCTACCAAATGGCTTTTCATTAGGCAGGTGGAAAAAACACCACCTGCTTTTCTCAGCATCGCAGGTTATGAAATGCAAGTTTCTCAGTAAACTAACTAGACCCCATGCTGCAGGGGAGGATAAATACCCTTTATTCCACACTCCTTACTGCACCCTAAGCAGCCCAAGAAACATGGCCCCTCTTAAACCCCGCCTGGCATTTCAGTGGTTAACTTGTGCTGGCCAAGGAGTCTCATGCTATGGGCTTTGGCAGGGGTCTGAGCCCCAGTCTTTTCATGTTTTAGAATCAATAGTTTGGGTTGGAAAGGACCTTCAGATCATCTAGTTCCAACCTCTAAAATATTCTTCATAAAGCCTGAGCTGCAGAGCCCACAGACAAGGCACTTCCATGCCAGTGGTTCATCACATCTGTACCCCTGATGCCAGGACCCCTGCACAGCACAGGACAAAGCTCTGTGGATCCCCTGGAGCTGTTAGACTTCCTGACTTCAAGTATCACCACCCCGGGACTTGCTTTGCCTAAGCCCATGTGCATCTGTCAAACAATCTCAGGCACATGGAAGGAATCACCAGTATCATTATTCTGCATATTGTGACAAATTATTTTACATTTTCATGAAGAAAAAACTGCAAACCTCACAAGAAATGAGCATTTGCCATGCCCAGCTGTGCAGGTCAGGCAGACTTTCCAGCATGTGCTGTCATAAAGGTTAAGCACTCAATAATTCAAGTGTCTTCCACACAGAGTAATAACACATCTCATGATGCATCCAGGAGCAGCTGCTTAGAAAACATAACTGTCTTCTAAAGTTATTTTCTATTTATAAGACTCAGAGAGAATGATGTTTTCAAGTTAACGTAACTCGGAGCTGACGACTTCCGTCTCTCAGGCTTTTTCTACTGCTTAAATTATAACTTTTACGCTTGCAGTAGAAAACTGCTGGAAATGCATTTCTTGTGTTGCAAATGATGCAAAAAATGCCTTTTGCAGATGTTTGATGTCACAGATGTTCAGGAGCGCAAAGCTCAAAGAAAGTAAACCCTAAAAAGGGGTGTGACAATTAAAAACATGCTGCTTGCAGTTGTAACTTTTCAGAGACATACTGAACACATACAGGAACATAGTTCTGATTTCAGGATGATTTCAGCCTTAAGGATGTACTTGCAGTCAGTACTCTGGAGTCACTCCTACAAGACATACATACATATTGCTGATAGACATTTGGATCTTCTACCCAAGCCCCCAGTTTTTATTAAAGCTCCCTTTTAATAACCAACAAGTGAACAAAACAATCCTTGCCACAAACCTGAAGGTGACCAGCATGTCCCAGAGATGCCTTTGGGCACTGCTGCTTGCTGTCCCCCCTGCCATCCCCAGTACTGAGCTCTATTACCAGTACCCAGTTATCTTTGCAGAGACGTCAAGGGCTGTTTGACTTTCAGCATCAACTAGTTCAAGGAAGTTAGGCGTCTAAAGTTCCAAGATGTTCATCTACTGACTGAATAGTCTGGAAACTCACTTTTAGCTTTTGTCTACAGCTATACCCAACCCAGCAGATACTCCTTTTTGTTCTTAAAATAAATGTGGGAACCCAAGGGAAGCAGCAGCACCCAGAGAAGCCAGCCCACTCGGCAAAGTGTTGCACACAAATAGGGAATGATAATAAAATACCATTTTTTATGGTTTGGTTGTTTTGTGTTTTTTTACCATCATGTAGAAATAGAGATCAGTGGAAGCCAGAGGACATTGGCCCCAGTTATAAGCAGTCTGGGTGCGAGTAAACTGGTGGGATTACCCTGTGAAAGACCCAGAAGGCTCTCTTCTAGGAAGCACTCCACGTGCAGCACTACATGCTTAGATACAGCATTTGCAGGCCTGGATGTCAGCAGGGTTTTGTTGCTTTACTTGTATTAAAGAAAGGCTTTTTAAGCAGAGTTACAATGCATTCACACCAGACCAGCTTTGATGGGTACATGCAGTGAGAGGAGCCCTCTGTCTAAGAGGCAAGCACACACCAAACCGCGGCATGCATTTTGTAACATCATCCGGGCAGCCTCAGAGGCTGTTTTTCCCCTTTGTCTTAAAACACAATTTGGCAGCTCTCAGTGACCAATCCCTCCCCTGGAGTGTGCAGCTCCCTGCCCAGGAGAAGCAGCAGCTGCCCTCACAAAGACCTCAGATGGTCTTTTCATTCGGCAGCGATTTACTTGTAGCTCTTGCTTCAGGATAGTTTCAAAGAAGACAGGTCGAGGGTCCTGACTACAAAGAGCTTTGGAGAGGGCACTTTGACAGTTCCTCACCATTGTTCAGGCTCCCCCTTTCCGAAGGCAATGACTCAACACACCAGGACTGGCAGGGAGCCTCCAGCTTCTCAAAAACTGGGTAATGAGATTACAGGAGCAGCTCTCGGGGCTTTTGCTCTTCACTGCAGAAGAAACCTTTGCACTTGTAAGAACTTTGTGGGCCTCTTTGAGGCCTTCTGATTATGAGCATCTCTTGAGGGGTGTCCATTTGGTAGGAAGCTGAGCATATCTCAGGTGAAAAACTAGAGGGACAAAACATGAATCCAAGAAGAATGCATATAATTTTTAAGCCTTCTTGGATAATTCATTACTCTTCAGATATCAAGTAATGACAAATGAAAGGCAAAAAGATGTGTGGTGACTCCATAAGCAGAGAAGAAATAACACATTATGTGTTTGCTCACACCAAACACACAGACTGTAATGTTTAAGAACGTGTTTGCACCAAGCTGTTTATAATAGTCAGAAATCATTTTTGCTGAGAAAATCAATGTGTGCCATTTAATCCCACAAAGACTCAGGTTAGGATGTGCCTCCTCTCTGAGAGAACACATCTTTGCAGCTTTCATTCGTCCTTGCAGAGATGGTCCAATAATGGGATGTGGTCTTAGAGGGGCATCAAAATTTGTCTCTGCTTATGCAGTAGCAGCTGTCAAGGAGGCATAGGAATGAAGAAAAATACATGCAAACCTCGAGTCCAAAAGTAAAAGATTGTACTGACAGGACTCCAGGGGCTGTCAGAGCAAAAGTTGCCACCCCTCCATCAGCACTGCCAGTTCCCGCGAAAAGACCAGCCTTACGGCTCCTGCATGTATTTATGCAGAGATTTATTAACTACAGTTATACGATACAAACATCAGGATTCATCTCCTTGAGATACTTAATTAAAAGCAAACTCTTTGGGAAATTCAACACATATTTCCCTCTATGTTTCCACCCAATCTAGTTTCAGAAAAGCAACTATATGGGATACAAACAGTCCTAGGCACCGCACAGCATATTAGCAAAGTTTAAACCTCACACCCAGCAACACAGGCTTAACTCTAGTAAAGCAGAGCAGGAATAGATTCACATTTACCAAAAATGTAACTGAGTTACATGGAGGATTCCAAGTAGGACTTGGGTGGGAATTAGCTTCAGTTTGAAAGTTAGAGAAGTAAAAAAGCAAGTACACAGATCAAAGTACACAGTTCTTCACAGTCATCTCAGAGGTGACGGGAATGGTGGCTGAAGAAAGTCAGCTGCAGAGAGCAGTCACTCACTATGCAGAGAATGCCAAAATACTCAGTTTCAATATCTGAAGGCTGCACAGGGGAAGAACTACTCTACCAGGATTGTATCAACGCTCTCTTGGATGAGATCTGACTCCAGTATACATTCATCTAAGTGGTCTTGAGGTAAACTGGAGCTCTTGCCTGTGCTCTCACTGTCACAGTAAGGATGAAACCTGGGGGTTGCAGGGCTCTCCAGCCGCTGGCAGCGTCCGTATTTGTGCTGTTTCCCTGTGTGTGTGTACATGTGCTCAAGCAGCTGGCTCTTCCGGAAAAACGTGCGGCTGCAAATGGTACAACTGATTTTTCTCTTTCTTGAGAAAGAAAAATTGCAGTTCAACTCCACTGGTTCATGGTCCTTGGAGATGAGTGAGAGCTGGCTGATCTGCAGAGGGTCCAGGTCGCTGCACCTCGGATGCTCCAGCTGATGGGCATCCTCCTTCAGGAGGAAGGTCCCCAGCCGGTGGCCATCCCTAGCCTCCCTGTCCTCAGCCAAAGGCTGCACCTCTCCCAGGTCGCTGCTCTCGAGGATGGAGGCTGGCACGCCAAACGGCAGTGAGCCCGAGACATGGGTGTGCAAGTGCTGCCGCAGTCCCCCCCGGGAGCTGAAACGCTCCCCGCAATAGTGACACAAGTGCACCTTGAGGCTGGCCTTAGCAAAGATGGGGCTCGCTACCTCTGGAGAAGGATGGGTGCAGCTCTGGGACACCACAGGCTCCGAATCACACCTCTCCTGCTTTATGGAGACCGAGAGCTTCGGATGCTCTTCTGCTGGCTTAGTGACAGCAGCGGGCTGAGCGGAGGGGCAAGCAACCTGCTGGTCCAGGGAGCTGTCATCCAGGCCGATGGCCAGGGAGAGCTGCAGCTGGGGGTGATCACCTTGGGCAGCAGGCCTGCTGCCCGCCTTGGGCAGGCTCTCCTTCGTTCCCAGGCATTCCTTTGCTGGTTTGTGTGTGGTCGAGATCTGGATCCCATACAAATTTGAAGACTGCACCAGCTCTGGAGATAACACTTGGTTCATCTCAATTGCGATATGGGAGAGGTGGTCTGCATGGAGAAAGCGGATGCCCTCCTCCAGTCGGCTCTTGCTGACAGTCTGTTTCGGCCCTTTCCCGGTGTACATAATATGCAACAAGTAACTAAATATGTCAGGCTGGATGTCTGTAGGCTGAATCTTTATGCATTCACTGAAACAAGACAGATGATTAAGTACATACAAGGCTCCAAGTTCAGTCCTGATCCATCACCTGCTTGTCCATTTGCACTGTTGTTTGCTGTTAGAGCAACACTCCCTGCCAAGACAAGCAGAAGTGCTCTGCTTGCACAGCAAAGTGCCTGAGCGTGTATTTATCCCTATTATAAAAGCCATGTGCACAACTGTGTCCAGGGATTCTGAGAGTGGCCAGCTCCCAGTCTCCTCATCACTCGCATGCACAGCTAATTGCTGCCATGCAGCACTGCAGCGAGGGAATGCAAGCTATGCATCACCAGTGTGTCCCACTCCAGTAACACAAGGAAAGAATATTTGTGTGTTTAAGTAATAAAATCAGCTGCTGCTACTGTATAATCTTTATGAGATTTGCATTTAAGTGTCAGTAAACAACATCTAGCGGAAAGGAAGTTAATTGATAGCCTCACTTCCAGATGAAGGTCTACACAGCCTATACCTAATGATTATCTTGCAAAAGTGCTGGGGGCCACGACCCTCAAAATGTAAGCGGAATGGACAAGTTGATTACAAGCAGCAAGGTCCAGATCAGAGATGAGATTAGACCTTGGCACCACTGTTGTTATACCTGCAGAACCACTCCTGAGCCAGTTGGGTGAAGCACCTGAACAGCAGCCTGAAGTTTATGATCTGTTTCAGCTCTTATCTGCAAAAGTCTCAAGAGCAGAACTGTGATAAAGGCTATGGCTTCTCCACTGCTTCAAGCCTGTGGATCCTGCCAGAAGGGACAGTCCCACCCAGCAAACTTGCCTGCAATCTAATACAAGGTAATGGATGTACTGTGTATGGGTGGGAGGCACCTGGAAACCCCTAGATTACAAATCTGTCAGGTACTCACTGCAGGAGGACTGTGGTACTTACACGTTTATTTTCTCCCATCACACAAATGTCTCCTATTTAAAATGTGGGACCTGATATTGGCATATACAGACTAAGAGGGTGGTTTTAAATGACAGCACATTCTGGACTGGGAGTGTTTGGAGCCAAGGCATGTGATGGGTTAGGAAAATGATCTTAGGGCACCTAAAATCCCCACTTTAGACTTTAATACCTTTAGAAAGTGGAAAATGTGTGAAGCTGGGCAGAGTACTTAAAAGGTAGAAGAGCTGTGTGTCCTTACCTCGTCTGATGGATAAATATCATCTTAAAATAGCTTGAAAAAGCAGCGAGCACCGCTCTGTGGGCTTTGAAGTAAACATCTCCAATGGCAACTGTGCAGTCACACAGAAAGCCAAACTCCCGCTGCATGTTCAGCTGCTGGAGGAGGAAGACGCTGTGGCCGGTCGCATCCATGGTGAGCCTGAGAGCAAGAGCACAAGGCGTTTGTTCATCTCATGAAGCAATCGCACAGCTCGCGAAGGCTCCAATGTGGGTTTCTCACCACTGAAACGAGCTGGGCGCCCTCGCAGAGTCCATTTTCCGCTCCAGCCGGTCCCTGCACTCCGATCTAATAATTTCTCCTACACCACCGCCGGTGCGCAGGCCCGCATTAAATGCGCCCAAACCCTACCCGGGATTTTCCCACGTGCCGGGCTGAGCTGTTTCTCCTACACATTAACTACGCTCCGTGGTGTGCGGCACTAACTTTAAACCTCGCTCGCGTTTTCGCTCTGCCCCTGGATCGCGCACGGTGCCGAACGGCCCACGGCGATCGCCATCACTGGGCCGCGCAGGGGGCGTAGGAGCCGCGGGGCTGGCGGCGGAACCCGACAAAGCCCCATTGTGCGGAGCTGATCCGGCCCTAGCCGGCCCCGCCCGCGGTGCTTTGACAAGAAACGCTGATACTTGCTACTGTTCGGCCCAAAACTATTGTGCGGGGGCAGGCGGCGGTGGAGCGCAACCAGCACCCTGCCCTGCCGTGGTCCCCGCGCCCGCGCAGCCGCTTACCCCCGCGGAAGCGCAGCGCTGAGCCCGGCGGATGGGGTGGGCGCTGCCCCCCCCCCGCTTCCTGCCCCCGCCGCCGGCGCTGGGCCGGGTCTGCCCCCGCCGCCGCTGCAGGAAGAAGTGAGCGCGGGCCCGTGCGCGGCTGCTGCGCGGTTGCTGGCGGCGGTCACCGCGCCCGCACCCCCTGAGGGCGGGAGGGAGGGACTGGGGGCGGTTGTTTTCCGCCTGCGGGGACCTCACCGTGGGCTGGGGCACTTCGCGTCTTCAGTCCCCCCATGAGAGGTTCCGCCTGCCGAGCTCCTCAGCCGTTGCTATGAGTGTGGTTTTGTTGTGCTAGCTTTTGGTTGAGGGTTGGATTTTTTTGCCATTTTTTTAAACAGAAAAACCCGTGTGTAACAGGCGCCGCCCCGGTCTGCCTGCACAGGAAAATGGACCGAAGATACGATCTGTGTTTTTCACCACCGTCTGCGGCCTAAGAGTTTTCTTTAACCACCGGTGAATCCTATAGACGCACCGTTTCTCGGCCGCCCCCCCTGTCTCTTCCTAATTTTTAACCCAGGGTTATGCTGGGTGAGAGCAGCCACGATGGGTTGGGTGCAGCTGGGTGCCCCAGGGCCTGGCAGAGGACAGGCTGCAGACAGGCAGTGCCACCCACTCTCAGACCTCCCGCCTCTGTGCGCACCTTTGGACGGGTCCTCAATCCAGTCTTTGAGTCGTCTTTCCCATGAGTTTTATCCAATTGCTCTCTGAACCCGTTTAAAATTCCAGTCCCTGCAACCCTTGTTGTCAGCAGGTTGTCTTTGGGATGGAAAAGGGAATGGAAGTTGTTCTTGATGTGCTCTCGCTGTTATTAGTGCAGTTTCAGAGATTTGCCGTGCCCTCCTTGGTGGCATCTCACCCAGCTTGGGGTTCTGCACAAGACATTCCATGCCTTGGATCATCCCTCTTGATTTTCTCTCAGCATGTGACACTTTGCAGTTCATTCTCCTCTTGTGTGCCCATAATTGCAATTTTTTTAATTGGCCTGTGTCTGAGTCTTTAGGGCACATAATGCTCCTGCTCCTCCGAATCCAGGTGCTCCTGGGGCTGTTTCCAGTGGCATCTTGAGGAGGGCTGAGCTTGGGTGGAGGATGGAGATGAGCCAAGAGAAGATGGGGCACAGGCTCTGAGACATTTACCTCCATGCAGTATTTGCTGCTTATCCCTCTGCCCAGTAGAGCTTTCTCTTTTCCATTGCTCTATGGTTTGTCTATTTTAAATAAAAAGCTCACAAGGCTCAGGGACTGTTGTTCCCTCCTGTGTTTGCACAGCAGCATATTGAGGGGTGGTGGAGCTGTGATCCTACTGCTACTATGGGTATAGGTAGCTGCTTTTCTTCCCGGAAATGGTTGGCAGGAGGTGGCTCAAGGTTTTGTGTTCTGTCCTGGGTTATTTAACATATTAACTTGCGTACAGAGTGAGTTGCTATTTGCAGATGGCATGTTATTTATTTAAATGATTAACAATTCACATGTTTATTTAGGTTGACTCTGGTCCAAAGGGGACTTTGAAGAGCTTCAGAGGAACTGTAGCCAAAATGATTGAAGCTATGTTGAGAAATGGATTTTGGCGTTTCAATGTAAAACACAGGTGCTGATATCACATGCCTATGCCAGTAGGTCAAAAAAGAGAGCGGGATGTAATCACTGCTGCCTTTGAGTGCTTCTGCTTGCTCCTCCTCTGTGGCCAGAAAATAATGGGGAAGAGAAGCGTGGTGGTGGGCACTGAGGGAATGGAGACTGTGAAAAGGGGGCTGCTTTGTGCCTCATCTTAGTTGTGATGGCAAAAGCTCCTGGTGTGATGCACATGAAAGGGCTGGGACAGAGTGAGAGGCTGCTTCAGCCCCACATGGGCACTCCTGGCTTCTGCTCCCCCAAGACATGCAAGGAGCTGAAAAGAAAAAGACCCTTGAACCATGAGAGAAACAACTTCTCCGTGTGATTTCAAAACCACAGCCCTGGCTTATGGAGGCCATTTATTTAACTTCCTATAAACCAGGAAAACCTACAAAGGAGTTGGGCCATGGGGGTCCTTCCACCTTTCATGGGGGCTGGTGCCTTACAGCTGCGGAGGTTTTTTCCCTCAGCACTGCTACAGGCATCACACTCTGGAGCCACAGCAGGAGTGGGGTGAGGGGAAAAAATAAGGGTTTTTTTTGAGACACATTTTGAAAGCTCCACTTTTATTTTGTAGCGGTTAAAAAAATGCTCAGACAGACCCAGGAGGACAGGGTGATGTCCCATTTGGAAATTGGGATTATGTTAGTTGGGTTTATCCTGGTTTTTCTTGCATGATAGAGGGATGCTTCAGGAAAACCTTGTCAGTCACTGAAGCAGGGGTTGATGCTGGTTCATTTTGACATTGTGACATATTGTTGCTTTTTGGTTACTTTTGTAATTCTAAAAATTTTAATAAAGTATTTTTAACTTTGCTACAATTAAATTTTCCCCTTCCACTTGTCCTGAGCTAAGAGGGATCTTGGATAGCTGCAGCAAACATTAAAATGATGATACCTCTAGAAACCGGATCTGAGTGAAAGAGCTGTGCAGATGAAACACTTCCGATGCTTACGCTGAATGACAAATGTCACTTTGGGGGCGGGAAAGTCAAGTGGCAAGACGGGGGAAAGCCCGACTTGGCTTGTGATCGCTCGCAGCACTGTGGCAGGTAGCAGAGGGGCCGCCCGCAGCTTCGGGAAATCGCATTTGCTCACACGAACCAGCATGAGAGGAGCTGGATGCTGTTAGACAAGAGAGGTCTGGAGAGTGATGGGAAGAGGGCCTGGGAAAGCACCTAGAAAGATGGAAAAAACCTCAAAAGGGCTGTCCTCAGGATGTGTGGCAGGGATCATGCCAACCCCTGTGCTCCCTGCATCACTTTAGAACTCGCCGAGGGAAGGCAGTGATACTGACAAGTGAAAATTGCAGCAAAAAGGAAACACTTTCTCATGCAACTTGCAGTTGATTTTCTTGCAACTTGCAACGAAGCTGTAGCGCAGGAGGCCTGAAGACTGCGGGTACACAGCTGAAACGTTGGACGTCCACGTGGGTAACCGAGACTTCTCCGTTACCGCCAGTCAGGGCTGGCTTGAGGAAGGGAAGAGGACACCCCGTCCCGTGGGGCGAGCCCCGGTGCGCGGGGAGGGGGCGGGCTCCCACCCGGGAGCGGGTCGGGACCGCCCAGCAGTGAGGGTCCCGGCCGGGCGCCCGCCAGCGGATGATGCTCCGCTCCAGGTCTCCCCGAGTGGCTTCGCCGGCCGAGGGAGGGGGGAGAGGCGGCGGAGGGCCGGGCTTCTGGCACATGGGGAGGGGGCGCCGCCAGCGCTAGCCCGGGCCGCGCCGCGCCGGCCCCGCCGCCTCCCCGGCGGCATGGGAGGAGAGGGGAGCGCGGCAGGGAGCCGCCCGCCGGGCCCGGGCATTGGCGGCGGCGCAGCAGCGCTGGCAGCGGCGGGGCCGGGAGCCGCCGGCCGCCGAGGGGAGGGGTCCGGCTCCGTGCGGTCGCGGCGGAGCCGGCGCTGCGGCAGCAGCAGGCGCGGCGGGGCGGAAGTCCTTTGTTGCAGCCGCGGCGGCAGCAGCAAAAGCAGCAGCGGCGGGAGCGGCGCGGGCAGTTTCCCTTCGGCGGCCGCCGCTTCCCCTCGCAGCGGGTAAGCGGGGCTGCGCGCCCCTCCGCGCCGTGTCCGGGGGCCGCCGCCGGGCGCTGGGGAGGGGGGAGGCAGGAGGCAGCGCGGCGGCCGCAGCTCCGCCGGCGGCGGGAGGTGGGAAGTGCCGAGCGGCGCCGGCCGCGGCATGGCCCGCCATAGTGTTGCGGGGGGAGCGGCGCTGCCAGGTAGGGGCTTTCCAGCCGCTGCCGGTCCCTGGCGAGCGGCCGCCGCCGTGACCTTGCGCAGGGCGGCCTGCCACAGCGCGGCACGGCACGGCACGGTGTGGTACGGTACGGTACGGTACGGTACGGCGCGGTACAGCACGGCGCCGCCCGGGCTGCGCGGGGGCCGAGCAGTGGCGGCGCCGCGGTGGCGGGTCTGGCGCGGTTGTTTCGCGTTGCGCGGAGCCGGGCGGGCGCGCTCCACCTGCGGGGTGGCGGAGGGAGGAAGGGGCCGCGGGCGCGGCGCCCGGCGGCGGGGCCCGGCGGAAGCGGGTGGGGGGGTGCCGGGGCTCTCGGTGGGGAGCCGCGCTGAGAAACGAGAAGCGGCCTAGGGAGATGCGGAGGCGCGGGGCCAGGAAGGACACGGCGCTGCCCGGCTCGCTGCGAGGCTGGAAGTCACGTTAAACATCCCCAGTGCCGTTATCGCCGGCGAGCCCTGTCCCCCCGGCAGCAGGCCAGGGGGTCCCGACCCTGCTCCCTCTGTTCTGAAAACAAAACAAAACTTCGAGCGAGTTGCAGTAGTTGAACGAAGAACTGAGTGGAGCTGCAGCCTGGAGGGAATGCTCCACCCTGCCAGGCAGCAGACTTGGGTTTCACTCGGGGCTGGCAGTGCCCAGGATCGCCTTGGAGGCGGCTGGAAAGGAAAGGGAATAGTTTTGTCACATAAAAACAAGCCTTGTGTTCTCTGGGAGCAGTGTCGCAAGTGTCGTTCCTCAAAGGCTAGAAAAGTAGCAGAAGGAGTAGAGGGGACTGAAAACGCTGTGGGTTTGGGGCCAGGGTTTTATTCTTTTCCATTTTTAATTTTTTTTTGTAACTGAGACTCTCAAGTTAGGCCTGTTTGTCAGCTGGTAGATGAGTGCCGGTTCCTCTTGACACGT